CTGAAGACACTATCAACTCAGTAGAAAACGCATTTTCTCGAGGAGCGATTCTCAGCCCCCTAAAACTTCAACAAAAGAGTCACGGTTTGAGCTGAAATTTTTTACATCTGAATATCTAATAAAGTTCTACAGGTACCATAGATTTCTGCTCCATTACTTGATGCCCTGGTATTTTATGGATTCCAGATTTTGAGGAAAAATGAATCTTTTTTGAGAGTTTTGCTGGTTAGATCTCGTAATTAGAAAATGATAGAGAGTTGAAATATTGAATATAAGTACATCCTGTTACTATCTAACTATCGTATATTTCAATACGAGGCGATTACAAATTTTTGAAAAAATGTTTGAATTCAGTTGGTATTCACTTTTATAATGATCTTCCAGAATAATTCAGGTTATATAAACAACTGTAATATAGCTCATATCTACTAGATTTTCTTTACTTCTTTCATTAAGGAAAACTATTGTTCTCTGAAACATTACATCAATTTTCTGTCTCTAAGCTAATGACGATTATGTTTAGTCATACGTACTCTACAAACCAGAAGAATCTGGTTCAATTAAAAAACATTTTGAAAAAGCTTGATACCTCTTTGATTATATTGACCACCGTCAATAAACGCAATCAGGCTTGACCGGTATTTTTCACCCGTTGTCTAGTTTATACCATACTTTATTACAAAAAAGAATTACTAATGTATAACGTGTTCTTTTTTGCGGAATATGTGAGATCCACATTTCAGCTACACAGTAGCTGCGCTAACAAGTTTTTTTCACTGATTTGATAGTGCCTTCAGTAAAATAGCTATAAAAACCGAACGGCTCAATATTTTTTCAACCAGCTTGCGTCAAAATGCTTCAAACAGTTTGCTCTATCATATATATGAGAATGAGTCAAATTGGAGAACTTCGATTGAGCGGCCCTGTAGAGAATCGGCCGTGGCTTACGTGGAATGGCTCATATAAATATATAAATAGATGCATTTCTCAATCATGGAAAAAAAATTTCATTTTTCGCGGTACCTAACGGGGACCACAGATATGAAAAATATGAAAATCGTTTTTTCGAGGGGTCAAGTAGATAAAAATGTTTAGAAATGATTTCTCTTTCGATGAGTGATAAATGGTCACGGTCATGAACGCGCATATGAGCGTGATCAGTCTACGCGCTCATGCTCATGTGAGCACGAGCGTGAGCTGTACATCCCTACAAGAGGGTAACATGAATGCGTTGGAAAACTGTCTTGTTGAGACCGAAACCACAAATGGTTGAGTTATTCGAAATGAAATGTGTTGGTGCTCCTCAATATGATAATATGAAAGGTACTGCATGACAATGAGCAGATGTGTATAAAATGAAACAGCAGGGGAAATACTAGATTTAACTATTTTTGTCATTTATCATTTACGCTTTCTATACAGTCTCTCTATTTTCGTATCATATATTTTTTATTCCTGTTTTAGATGCAACAGATGGCTGATATACATCGGAGTTTGGAACAATCTTATGAGAAATCTGGAAAGTTCAAGGTTACAAAAGCGGAGAATAGAAATATCTTACTTATAGGACGCAGTCGCGTTGGTAAGTCAACATTCAAATCGATGCTTATGAATCCTACCAATCCAGTCAAAGACAGGTCACTCAGAAGCGACAGGCAAAAGGCTAGCTGCCAATCGATTTATTTGAAAGATACAAACATGGTAATTAATATTATCGATGGACCTGGTTTTTTCGAAAGGGGTACTCAAGACGATCCATTACGAGATAACGCAATGATATTTGAAACAATTCAAGAATGTGTGAAACGAGAGATTACAAAACTGCACATATTCTGCTTTTGTATAGCAGTTAGTAATGGTATTATCACAGAAGATATTAAAACCATTGAACTGTTCAAAGAATACTTCGGTGGACAAATTGATTCTAATTCGTGTCTGCTTGTCACTACTTCCGAAAATTTAAATGAAGAGCGTCGAGCAAAAATCAAGCAAGACATATGGGAAGACACGAAATTTTCCTGCTATAAACACTTTTTCAAGCAGGGCATTTACTTCACCGGTGCCATCGAATTAAGCATGATAGAAGATGAACATCGAACTCTCATCACGAGTCAGTTGAAAACAATCTGTAAATATCGTGAAATCATTATTGAAAAACTCTTCGATTCAAAGATTCCTTTCAGCATCAGTAACGCGATAATCAGTGAGATTTATAGAGAAAAAAAAAACACTGAGCAAATGATCTCAACGCTTGAAAATAAATTGGAAGATGCTAAAAATAACATTGAAATGCTCGAATCAGAGCTAAAAAATGCAAAGAAATGATAATTTTACATAATTATGCTTTTCATAAACAATTTTGATACGTGGAATAATTCACAAAAGCTAATTGCACTTTAAACTGTTTTAAAAATAAATTCTCGCTGTAGTTATTCTTTTCATTTCAGATGTTTATCTCAGATATTGATTCAAGACGAAAATCCATATTAGATCGCATTAAT